ATATATATATATATATATAGACACACACACACACACACACACACACACACATGTACATATACATATATATATACACACACACACATATATGTACATATATACATATATATATATATATAAAATCTTTATTTCGTATCGGCGATATTCTTAGTCGCGTGATTGTGAATGAGAGGAATGAGAGAATGCGAGCGGTATGAAATTAAAACACTAGAGGTGAAAGACTAACGTAATATATTCTGTTAATATATTATTATAGTTAGAGAGAAAGGACAAAATAACAACGGAACGCCTGTGTGTCCTTAACGTGTTTGTAAGAAAAAAAAGATTTATAGAGAAGAGACCCATATATAGCCGAACGTACCGAAGCAGACATATGACTCTTTCGAAATTAATAAAACTTTACATATAATGGTGCTGCCAATATTTGTAATAATGAATGTAGCGTGATTACTCGATTCTTAACGAACACCTGTGTAACATGCAATATGTAAAAAAAAAAAAAAGATCGTAATTATTTATTTTTTAATAGGTACACTGGTAAGTAACGTTTTCCTAAATTTCTCAACTAGTTTTATAACGAACGATCCGCACTCCATTTACCGAATGGACACAGTGTTGAATTATTCAATAAAGATCATTGTTTAGATGTAACATAGTTTAGATCTCTCTCTCTCTACATATATATATATCCTCTCTTTTCAGTAATTATTATACTATACAGCGTCACACGCGGATGTTGCGTGTGGGACGAGGCAGGCGGGGGAGAAGTTGGACGTGTAGAATAAGATCTCGGTATAATCAGACGGTATAAATCTCTTGTCGTCTTGTGTGTCTATTATTATCATTATCGAGAATACAAACGAGATCCACGACTAGTCGTTGCCCATAAAAGAGGACGTGGAACACACTTCGTGTGAGATCTGATGCTTCTAAAACGCGAGAATTAGAAGACCGGTGTATAGCATTGCAAATTACTCCGCTTATTGCGATTCCGGCGAGAAGTAGGCGAGATAGTCAAGGCTCAAGATGCTCGCGAAGTACGTTGAAATAAATCGACACGAGCGGTTGAGCGGGTGTGTGAGATATTCTGAAAACTTTCCTTAACGAATAATCACATAACATTAACGTGACACGTGGCCTACTTTTTAACTACATCATCTTGTCGTTAACTTCACGGCTGTTTCAATCGATTCGATCTTTTTATTTCCACGTATCTTTCAAGCATTTCGAGCGTGCATTTTCTCGCTTCTGACGTCATTGGTCGAGAAGGTCGAGGCGAAGAAGCGCGAGAGCCTTAATAAGACTTCACCGAGCGACGCGTCCTTCGGTAAGTCTCCGCCCGATCGTCTCCCTCCGTTCTCCTTTTTTTTTTCTTTTTCGCGCGAGCATTGAATGACGATGAATTAAGAGACGCGTAAATGCACATTAAATTAGAATAAATTAGACGGTTTCGCAAAGAGCGTTTTAAAAGCGCGCAGTTCGCCCTTCTGGTGACTAGTAGCGGTAACGATAGGCTCGGCCGTAGTTGTACACGGACTTGCTCTCGATGGGGTTGCAGGAGTACAGGGCGTCGCCTCTGGTCCCGTCCGGACATGTGCAGACCGCGATGTGACGTCGGGGTGTGCACGTGGCGCTCGGGCCGCATTCGCGACCGGTGCACGGGTTCCTGCACGTGAAGTCGATGCACGCCCGGTTGTCGGGGCACTCGCTGTCGGTGAAGCACTCCCCGCGCTGGCAGCTCGTCAGGGCGTTGCCGATGTAGCCGGTGGGGCACGTGCACACCGGCCTCTCCTTGCCGGTGTTGTCGTGGCCCGGCGTGCAGATCGCGTTCGAGCCGCAGGGATTCGGCTCGCAGAGATCACCTGAAACGACGTTCTTATAGCGCGATCGGCAAATTGAGTACCGGGCTAATAACAACGTCCGGGAGTCGATCATGAATCTTTCCCTCCGAGAGTAAACTCGTGAAAAGTAAACATTTCCTAATTTGAGAGCCTTTGGAAATCACGCTCACTCTTCACGTTTCCGTCCTGGGGAAAAGTAACGTGATCGTTGCCCGGACAGTGAAACCGGAGAGAGATTTTGCTTGCGATTAATTTGGCTTGCAATAAATTTTTGCCGGTACTTCGTTAACTGAAACACATCGAGACCTGCACGGAGAGATTATAACTTATTATAAATTAAGGCAGAATGCCGAGATGTGTGTCCCTCAGTTTCACACAATTCTCTCTATAATAATTTTCACTATAAAAATCTCTCTCCGTGCATTAACAAAATATGATAGCAGATATCATATTTTGTTTATCTGGATAGTTTCTTTGCGCTTCCCACTCAAGAAGAGTAATTTAATAGGTGATCTGACGCTTACGCGGCTCGAACAGTCTGCAGCTCACGAAAGGATTGCCGGTCATGTGTTTCGGACAGCTGCAAACGGGCGTGATGGCGCGTAGGTGGCAGTCAGCGTTCACTCCGCAAACACCGTCGCACGGGTTCACGCATTTCTGATAGAGACAGGCGGGCTTGCCCGCCGGGCACTCGGAGTGGGAGATGCATTCCGGTCGGCATGAGACGTACGGATTTCCCAGCCACGTCTGGAACAGAACAGGACATTCATTCGACTCGGTGTGCCGTCATCGGCTCATTACGTCAGACCTCCTCTGCTCCTTTTACGTAAGACTCTATCGAAGGATAAAGCATCCTCTCCCCTATTGCAAGAGGAGAAGAAGGGAAGACACGATACCTTTCCAGATAATATTAAGGAGGTTCTAACATTTGACCAAATATAAGTCTGTAATATATACGTGATACAAAAGTTAATCGAACTACCAATGCGCGACAGGAATTTCAATAATCTTTATCATAACGTTTGCGAGATATTTAATTATAAATTTTTACGTGTGCAAGCATAGATAAAATATCAAATTTCTTCTAATTTGATATATTTGCGCATAAGGGGGAAAACTATAATATCGCGTGTATATATTTACTTCAGCTTTGTTTCAAATTAATATTTACTTTTTCGTTAGTGAAATAAATGTATAGAAGAGAAATTTTGCTTGATAAATAGTTAATTTACGAGAGGCAGCCTTGACGCGCCACTGGAAATACGACACTTCGCGCTAGAACGTCCTTGAGACGTCCTAAGGTGTCTAAAGGACATCTTTGAGACGTCTTTTAAACACACGTGTTGTTTGGGTTCGCTCACCTTCGGGCAGGTGCACCTGCCTTGGTGATTGACGACTTCGCACTCAGCGTTCTCGCCGCACTTGCAGGGGTTCTCGCACTTGAACGACGACGAGCACGCGAGATGATGAGGGCACTCGCTGTCGCTCTCGCACTCGTGGCGACACCCGGTCAAAGGCGAGCCTCGATAGCCCGGCAGGCAAGTGCAGACCGGCACCTCGTTGATCACCTCGCACTGGGTGTTATCTCCGCACGGGCTCGGCTTGCAGGCGGCTTCTGCGTCGCAATTAAACGTCGATGAGAAGACATTTCTGGATTACGGCTGTGCTCGAGATAAATCGCGTAAACACGAATAAATTTACTGAAGATTCAGATTAAATACGTAGATTCACACTTTTCAAGTTATCCACTCGACGCTTCCGAGTGGGAGAATCCACTCTGCACAAGCGAGAGGTCACTCGACTTCGAGTGTCGGCTGTCGCTCTACTTTTCGACTGGGATTTCGCTCGAAGAAATCCAGGGGGTACTTGAAGAGAGCGTCCACCAAGTAACGAGACGTTCGAGTCGAAGTAGATTGCCTTGTTCAGAGGCTAATTTTACGTACGAGGATCCGCGACGTGGCAGCTCGTGAACGGATCGCCGACGTATCCCGGTATACACACGCAGGTGCCTATGTGGTTTCTGGTGTTGCAGTTCGCGTTCGTGCCGCACAGACCAACGCAGGGATCGACGCACCTGTTGTTCGTGCACACCTTGTCATACGGGCAGTCGTCGTTGACTGAAACAGACATATCGTTCGAATTTGCCAGACGAGACGAGTATCCTTGCAAGTTTCTCCTTCTAAAAGACGTCTTAAAGATGTTTTTCCGGGCCTCAGCAGAATGGCTGACTTATCGGTTCCAGACAACGTATTTTATGCCTTAAGTCTTTGTCTTAGATAATGCAATGAGACCGTTTTGTGTCTTGAGTCTTACATTAAAAAGCCTTTCTGTTTAATGACAAACAAACTTTTTATGATTAAAAAATAGAAGAATGACAATTTATGCAAAGATTCAGGGCATAGAACCATTGTCTTAAAATTACAAGTCAGTCAATTCTGCTAAGGCCCTTAGATGGCTCTAAAATAAGCTAAGATAAGCAAAGCATAAGTTTCCCAGATAGCAGGAGCTCTTAAGAGATGTTTTAAAAGCGCCTGGGAGAAGTGTATAACGTAACTTTCCCCTGAAAGTGAAGTATACTTGTACAAACCTAGCAAACACCAGCAGTAACATAATATCAATGTTACAATTTCCCAACAGTGTCATTATTACTTAACATGCTTGTTATATTGCACTTACTTGTTGCATGAGAAATTTTAACATTAATGCTACGTTGCTATTAGTTGGTGTTTATTAAAAATAAAATAAAATAAATGTCTGTTAAACGTCGCTAAGACATCTAAAACAAATAGAAGACGTCTCTTAGAAATGTCGAAGACATAAAAATAATAAGACATAACAAAAATAAGACGTCTCTCAGAGGTCCTTGAGACATCCGGATGGAGTCTCTCAGATGTTTCCCAGACGTCTACAGGAACATGTGCTGTACGGGAAGTACTCACTTAAACATTCGACTCGCACACAGCGCGAAAGCGGGTCTCCCATATGTAAATTCAGGCACGAGCACACCGGTCGTCCTTCGCTCATGGTACATCTCGCGTTGGTTCCGCATGTGTAGCTGTCGCAGCCGCCTGCACACGGGGATGCTGGTGAGTCAAGTAACAGCCCGAGTCCTGCGCTCGATTTATGTTTTGCGTAATACGAGCGAACGAGTACTTACCGGACGCGACTATTCGCGATTGGAGGTACTGACTGCCGTGGGCCAAGGCGGCGAACAGAGGCAGGAGCAAGACTGCGGCTTGCGAGCGGAGAAGCATCTTGACGCCAACTTTCCGATGTACCTGTCGACAGTGGAAGATGACAATGACAATGAAACGGAGGATAAAACGTAAGACGAGTATAATTCGACCGAGCGAGCGTCCTTCTCCGAACCGTACGAGCAGTATTGTACAGATGCATTTTTCGAAGTAACTACCCTTACAGAAAAGTATTATTGCCTATGATAAAGTGAGAAATTATCGTTGCCCAGTAATTTTATTACTTGTATACGAATAATAAAATTACTGAGCAATGGTAATTTATTACTAGCCGATCGTGGGCGGTAGTACTTTTCTGTAAGGGTAGATACGGATACTGAAAGGGAAATGCAAGTAGATACAGATATAGATGTAAGTTTTCGAAGTAAGTAACTAGATATAGATACATATACCCTGAGAATGCATCTAGATATATTTCATAAATTATATATTCTCATAGTGCATGTATCTATATTTAATTATTTACGTTTGCATTTGTATCCGTATCTACTTGCATTTCCCCTTCAGTGTCAGTATTTAGTTACTTAAAAAATGTACCTATTGTACCGTGTACGAGACACACGAGAGAAATTTGATTATAGTGTAATTTTATTACTTATCGCGCGAGACCTCCGAAAATCGTCCGGGGACGAGACTCGAAAGTTTGGAATTTCGAAGAGCGCTCGCGCGACGAAGGAAGTCGAAGCAGCGGCTCTTACCTTGTGAGACGCGCGAGCTCGTGCCCGGTGCTGATGCGGAAAGGACTAACCGAGCCGACCGCGGTCGCGGAGATGATGAAGACGAAGAGACGAGGCTGGCCCCACCATCGGCGACCTTCGGCCCCACTTCGAATTTCGCCCACGTGCGATTCCGATTATTTTTCAAGGTGCCCGATAGACACCGCGCCCACGTGTGTTTGTAAACGCGTTCGATTCCGAATCCTTAATTCGCAGCCGTTCTCCCGGCCGATTGTCGAACGCGTCATTACTCCGAGGATCTTTCTAATGGACCGTCACCGTCATAAATGTCACGGGTGAAAGACGGTCGGGACCGTGATTGGGCGTACGGCCGAGTCCTAGCAGAAGCTCCCGAGAGTGACGTCCGGGCAGCGATCACGTAATTTCCCCTTAGGGCGGAAACGTGAAATGTGAGGAGTTTCGCGTGAACTCGATGATCATGTAACTTTGCGAACTGTGAAAATGTGAAACTTCTGCAATTTTTGAATTATTAATTGAGAAAAACCTTTATAGACGGCTATTTTTCATAATTGTTAATAACTCAAAATTTTCCGCGGTTACTTGTGTCAAATGGTAGAAACTTTTTCATTCATACTGACCTAATGACGAATGTTCCACTTATAGCGACAGTGATCCTGTATGTAACCTTTTTGGAATCGAATAACACGGTGTCCCAATCCGAAATATTGATCAATCCGAATCCAGTGATTTCACTTTCCACACATCTAACTACGTAATTGCTGTGTGATACGTGAAAAAAATGTACGAGAGATCAGCGAAGAGTGAACAATTCAGCGCTCGAAATTACACGATCGCTGCCGTAGGGGGACGTAACTTCTCCCTAGAAGCGGAAAATAACGTGAAAAGTTTCCACGTTTTCATCGTTCGAAATATCATATGCATGATCGCTAATTCACGACTGTAAAACATTACACAATCGTCGAATTCGTGTCGTCGAACTTCCCGCTTTTGGCGTTACCGTTTTTAGAAAAAGAAAAGAAGAAGTTACATAATCGCCAGTCTCCGAAGAAGTGAGACGTCTTTCAGGAGTTCCTGTTCTACCTGCGATCATTCGGCGTGTTGCAACGACAGCTCGGCCCGCGTGTGTACAGCCGATAATGCGAGCCGATCGGTCAAAACAAGCGTATGACTAATCGCGCCGCTGCAGTTTCCCATGCGGAGTCTCGCGACGAGCGTATCCTTTCGCGCCAAACATGGCTCTCCAGGGATAGGCGCTCCCGATCAAACTGCAACGTCGGAGTAGATCCGGCACGGATCCGCCGGTTACGGCCGTCATATATCGCGCAGCGTCGTCTCCTTGTCGGACTTCGAGAGAAAATCGCGGCGCGAGGCGAGAATGTGGCTCGAACGAGATAAGAAGAAACGCGCGGGCGACGGGCGAAAAAAAAAAGAGCTTACCACGTTAACGGGCCAATATCATTACCATTTTACGGGCCAATATCATTACCATTTCTTTATCTCGAAAGTCCGCTGTTGCAATTCGCGAGAGAGACGATGCTTCGCTGGTTACTCGTATATTCATCGGATTTTCGTCAAAATTTTGCCCGTTAACATCCCGGGGGAAAATTATTGTATATAATGATATAAAATCACGTATGAATTTTGCCCATATATGTGGTTACATACATGATCATATATGATCACATATGTCTATACGAAAAAAGAAAAAATTATGCTTTGTCATTTAATTAAATGTCGATATCACGTGCCGTCGGAAGCACGGTGGCCAGAAACATTTTTTTCGACTACATTTGCATGTAACTTGCAAATAACAGTATTTTTTTTCGTTGCGGACATACATGATTATACATAGTCATATATGGGCAAACTTCATATATGATTTTTTTTCCCGGGACCAGAACTACCGAAGCGGTCAAAATGGCCGGTTTGTAATTTTCTCTTGTAAAAGCTACTCCAATTTCTAATGGCGCATTCGTTGAGATCTTCCGTAATTCTTGTTGCAATATGTATGCGAGTAAATACTTTCTCCTTTGCATTGCGTATTTCTCTAAAAATCCCATTTAAACCGCCCCGGCAGGAAGGTACATGTTAATCGTCGGTAATTCCAATGTTAATGCTCAACGAGCCGAGATTCTCGTTCGAAGGACGCGTTCGCGAGGACCTGTTTGCGAGCAGTTCCGCGAGCGAAATAAAGTCGAACATCGATTTACGATTCAGTCGAAATTCAAAACATTCCGCAATTTAATCGAACGGAGTGTCATCGGGATACTGTTCGGGCCCGATCGGGTATACAATGCGTCATCGTATATGCGATTTATGTCGTGTATTTATGAAACTTTGTAAAAATGCGTATACATAAATCTTAAATAAACGGAAAACACATGAGGAGCACATATATACATACACATATATATACGTATATATGTATACGCGTACTTGTATATATATATATATATTTATATATATAGTACTACACCGTACACAGATCGACAAATTTCTCTGTACATGATGGAATCCGACGAAACGAGAGAAGTGATTCGTATCCGGTGTGATTTCTTTTTACGGGACAAACGTGATGTGTATTTACGCCCTATCCTCTCTACGTGCGTGTACCTCGTATTCGGCGTCCTAAAGTTTCGGTGTGTATAATTACTCCGTCGCAGAACCCTGTTATTACACGGCGACGTTAATCCGGCTTAGTGCACAATCATAGCGAGCTCTTGCATTGAATTGGAATATATCTTTTAGATAGAACAATATATTTTTTCTGATAGAACAATCCGTATACGAGTAGTTTACCAACTACGGTTGTTATCAAACCGAACTAACCTTGCCGTGTAAATAAAGCCATAGTGTAGTCTTGTGTTAGAATCACGATAGAAGTCGTACAGAAGTCAATCCATGGTCGAACCGGCAATTTGCGCGTTATCGTGTGTGCAAAACAACATCGAATCTTCAAGCGAATAATTACGTATTTATATAGCGAGGTTCGAGCTGCCAACTTAATCTCGATTAGGCGCGCCTCGCTTTATCTGCTAGAGGAAGGGGACTTCTTCACTTGGATTTATCTCTCAGGAACTCCTCATAGGCGGTCGCAATCTCGTCGTCGTAATTGTAGTCTACGTCATCGAGTGAACTGTGAACATTGCACACGCGAGATTAAGCGCACGCTCCGGGGCCGGGTTGTTTTAATTTCTAGCAACGATTAATCGTGTAACAACGGCGATAACACATTTTACTTTGTAGTAACATGTTACTACAACACGTGACATTGTAGCAACATATCACTCTAAGGTCGTTCCTCGCCCCCGAAGAAGGGAACTGGAATGTTAACGGGACGTCGGAAAAGAAAGAAGAACGCTGTACTAATCCGGAAGCCAGATCAACAATCGCAGTGACAATTGCGACAGTTGCATAACAATTGTCGCAATCGCGTTAATTTGTAGATATTTAAGATCTATCTGAGATTTCTCACGTACTCCTGCTCGCCGCCTATGTGCTCGTGGAGAAATTTGCTCTCCTCCTCAGTGAGTATGATTTGGCCATCAGGACCGTACACCAACGCGTCGTCCGACAATTGGGGTACTACCGAGTTCACTTTCGATGAATTGAACGCGTAATTAGACGCGCCCGGTTCAGTCGGTACTTGTTGCACTTGGTACGACAATGTAGCGTTGGTCTTGGACGTGTCAATGTGAGACGGATCCCTGCCCCAATTGTCGTTTCGCAACTCGTGCACGCTGTGTACCATGTTTCCCACTTGCGTGTCCAGTTGTCCCCTGGTCACCAGCTCGGTCAACGCTCGCATCATACTTTCGAGCTCTGTACTCTTGCTCTTATCTTTCTCTAATCTCTGCCCTGCCAACTACGTGACGCACCAAAATTCGTCAGAGGTATGTGACGGCAGTAGGAATGAAAAATTGTCGTTAAAATTGTCACCGTGACTCCGGCTTAATAACAACAGTAATTAGTGAGCTCTCGCATTTAATCGGATGTATATTTTTGGATCTAAAAGAATATACCAATCGGGTGCAAGAGTTCACTAATTACGTTTGCCACTAAACCGGATGAACGTTACCGTGTAAATAAAGTCTATATGAAAATCGTCGCTGTGATCTTACCTTGAGCGCTTGGCATATGTATTTGACGATGTTCGACGCGGGTTTCTTTAGTATCTTGGTGATAAATTCTATTAAGAGTCCTCCTAGGGTAAAAGCGAAAGTCTCGTCCATCTGGGCGACCAGCTCGGCTAAGAATAATATCAGTCCGTGACATTTCTTTTGGTCATAGCTATCGTCGGAAGCACGCTGCCACTCGAACTCTTGCATACGAGCCTCTAACAGACATCTAATATCCAACAGAAGTAGCACTGACTCGCATGTTTTATGGTTCTGAACACTTTCTGCGTGTAGACGTACAAACTCGTATGGACTTACGAATAATGTAAGATGTCTCTAAATAACAATTGCTCGTCGGGTTCCGAGGTGTCGTCGAAATATGTGCAAAATCGAGCTCCGTTGTACCGAAAATTACTTTCAGCAATGGACTGGGAATACAATGGTGCAATGAGGTAACACGCGACACTCGAAATTTAGAATAAAATATTGGGTTGTTCGATAAGTTCGTGTTCTCTTAAAATGTAATCAATGTATTAGACTGAGAAGCAGTCAATGGCCACTAGTGGCCATAGTTACAGAAGAACAATACATTATTCAATCAAGTTATAAAAGTGTCGGCTTGAAATTTTTGTAAAAATCTCCACAAACTTATCGAATAATCTAATAATATTGTATAGAAATTACAATAGTGCACAAAATTACAATAGTATATTTTCATAATTGAAAAGCTTATACGGCTGTTTGTATAGTTAAAAAAGAAACGTACCCAATCGATGATGTTTGTAACAAATGTTCGTAAGTAACGCGTGTTGCCCTCTCTCCTAATATTGTTTACAAAAGGTGGTATGAGATTGCCGAACTCGCCAGGACTCGAAGTCACAGTATACATGATCCTCTCAAGTTGAAGCATTGTAATATTATAATCATCTACGTTCACATCTTCTTGTTCCTATTTGAGACATTCTTAGAACATCACAAGAACATCTTGCGCTGACCTCACAAAATCAAATGGGATTATATTCTCACCTTGACCTCGGAGTAATTTTGATAATTATCGTAATTTGTATTGAGGCTGTTAGAATTATTTGTTTGCAATTCTAAGCTCTGTTGCAAAGATATGTCATGAGTGTTATCTTCTATTAGAGCTAGCCCAGAATTTACACTAGGTGGTGCTGCACGAGCTGCGTCGATTCTGTTTTGTACACTCTTTGGAAACTATCGGTAGATCAATCACAAGTCAATTGATATAGTTTATTAACTTTGTAAATACAATTAATTACTTATAATGATGATATAAACGGATATAAAGCTACTTTTTTTACTTACCTTTGGAATAAATACCGCAGCATTTGCTGACAATTTTGACTGTTTCTTTCCCGGAGTTTGCTCAGACTGTTCTGAGCTCCTCGAAGGGATGGAATCTATGTACAAGTGAATAATTTTACTTTCAAATCAGTAAAATCAACAAGGTTATACATATTATATAAATAATGTTACAACTAACCTAGGGATTGATTACTGGACATAATATGTGGTCGTCTAAGACCCATGTTGTCTGTTTGCAGCCAAGATATACTTCCACGTCCTAAACCTGACATCTTTGCTTCTCTATAGACATCCTTCTTTTCTCCTTCCAAAGGATCCATCCTTCTCTAAGAATGTCTTAGCAAATGCTGCAAATATCAAACACAACTAGATTAGATAAGGAATAAACATGGAATAGCTTAATATTTAATATTAATAAGGACGATAAAATTCGGTATTTATAACCAAACATAAACCAATACATTTAGCTAGATTCACATACTGACTTATCAATCAAGCCAACATCTTTAAATTCATTAAGTCAAAATTTTTTCAGAATGTGTTTTGATTATTACTAATGCACAATCATTTGTATTTTCTTCATCGTAGATAAGTTACTGTTTATCGTGAAAATATATCGCTCTTAGATAAAGTATCGGTTCGTGGTTCTGGTTATCGTCGTTATTCTCCTTTATTTCCTTACACAACCCAATAAGTTTCAGCGAAAATAAGTTTTGCGAAGTCGCGTTCAACTAGAAACTGGTTTGAATTTAAATTCAACTTCGGGTCGGAAAGCAGGTGCGGCGAAATAACATCTGTTTTCCGCTCAACTCAAATGAAGTCTAACTTAACCTAACTCGAATGTAACATCGACATCAGCAGTTTCCTATTTTACGACCAATCACTCATACGAGCCCCACTACTGTACTGTTTCATGCGAGAGATATCTTTTGATAATTTAAGATACCGAAATGAAAACGTCTTTGACAAAATATAAAATTATAAAGTATTTATACGAACGTACAGACCGGCGGTCGTCAGGAAAGGAATTACACCGTTAATCGCACGACCATAGACCGAATTTGCATTTGTATTTTCTGACAGCAAAATCGAGAGCTATTACGTCACACGCAACATATCGAGAATAGGCTCTACTCGACGTTCGCGATGATCGGGTTCGTTTTTTGGATACTGTCCCATTTCGGTTGCATTCCATTTAACGCTCTCAACGATCGTGAGCATAGGCCATGTTCATAATGTTCAATCGCATTGGTCGATTTGTCGAATTGACCAATGCGATTGCACACTATGGACCACGTCTATGATCCCGATTATTGTGAGCGTTAAATGGAACACATCCTTAGTGTAGCGAACAATTTGTTCGGGGGGGATTGTGTATCTCAAAACATAGTGAGAATTACAAAAGTGAGGGAATTTACTAGAATGTTTATAATTTCATTGGTCAACACCTAGTGAGTTTGCTCACTGTCGTAATTTCCATTACATTTTGAGATAATCGGCCCTCAGAATTTAACATCCAATAGGAGAATTCATTTTTCAGGATTCTTAGCTAGCAATATTTTTGTTTTTAAATAATACTAATTCTCCTATTGAATGTCGGATGTCGGATAGTGTGAATGGCTGTGTGTTCACAGAGAAAATCGTTTGTAATTATTTTAAAATTCATAAATCTGATTGTTGTATTTAGATTTGACTGAGATTAAAGTTCATATTTTGAATTCATTTTTGTGCGATAAAAGTGCCTGTAAAATTGGCGTAAGAATCACTTGATTGGTTGAGAAGCTAAATTTTAGAGACTTTTATCGATAAATGTAAGTTCAGAATATGGATTTAAGAGCATCCACCAATCAGATTTATGAATTTAACACAGTTGCAAAGCTGATTTTTCTGTTGAACGCAGCCAATCTTGTACTATGGTTAATTCACTAAATCTAGTTCGGGACAAATTGTTGCTTTAAAATATAGTATATGCGAGCTGCGTTTTAAGACTCTATTCGACGAATAAAGTAACTTTTAATTAACCAATCATGATAAAAAAATCTGCTCTTTTGGTCCTGACTGGCCAATTAAATGCTATTCTACTCGTCGAGTAATATTTTGTAACGTAAATAAAATACGTTCCACTTAACGCTCACAACGATCGCGAACTTAAGCCGAATTTATGATGTCCAATCGTATTGGTCAATTTGACCGATGCGATTGGACATCTAGTCATGGTCTACGTTCGCGATCGTTGCGAATAATTCAAATGGAACGCCAGTTCACTTAAACGAACATTCGGTTTCATTGAATCTTCAGTCGAGCTAAAAAGAACGTACTTTCATCGTGTCGGGAGATACGTGCATCGTGAGTTATGAGAAATGCTTAAAATATTGTTGACACATAAAATAATTTTGTTTAAAGTTGCATGAAAGTGGCAGTGTGAATCGTGGATCGCTTACGTGTATAATTAACATGGATTCAGTTAATTGCCGAAGGGGTCCTAGCAAAAGGTTAAATTTGGTACTTTGTTTTTTCTTTTTATTTTGGAAACACAGTTTTAACGTAAGCTGAAACGTTCTCGACAACTATTTACACTTACTTCATCTATTTTAGTAATTTCGTCGACGAAGATTCCACTTATGCGATGATCAAGCGTATAAAGCTGGAACCAGAAGCAATGTTGTCACAGGAAGATGATATCATGGCACAATTGCAACAAGATAGCTCTGACTTGGAAGTTGAGCCCAGTTTCACTTTAGAAGGAACTACAAACGACGACGAAGAATGTCTTGTCGCAGTATTAATGCAGCATATGGAGATTAGAGAGCCTTTATCTACATTAAGAAGCCTGTTAGAATCAAAGCTTCAGATTGATTTGTCAGATTATTCGTTTTGGTTACAAGATGCACAGATGGTAAAGAATAAAATATTACACCGTGATTTCTTCTCAGTTTCAAATTTATAACATTTTATATTGTGTTTATTACAACAGTTGGAGAGTGATAAAACCTTAGCAGCTCAGTGCATCGAGGGACAAGGAGTGGTTCAAGTTAGCATAGAAATAAAGATCACAAAAGAAGGTGAAAGACGTATCAACATTGTTGATGTTCTTAAGCCTGCGGAAAATTATGTCGAACTTGAGGAAGCCAATTGTATGTTTAAGTTTAGATTATTTCTGTGAATGAAAATGAGATTTTCTGGATTTAGCAAATAATATATATTCTGGTTTTTTATGAAACAGCTCCATTGCCTGCCAAAAAAAAGAAACGGCAAATTATGAGATGGATGGTAGACCCATATTACAAAAAAGAACAGGTAAAGTACAATAAAAAAGAATATATAATTAATAGTATATTATCAGACAAACTTTTCCTCACTAAGATTAAAATTATAGTATCCCAATATCTAGCAATAATAACAATATTTTACAGTCAATCTTTCTTAGCAGTTGCAGTGTTGAGTGTTAATTGATTAAAATTTTAGTTAATTCAAATAATCTATTAATTAATAATCGAAATTAATCTCATACTTGCAATCGTGAGTAATTTAATTGATTAATGATGTTAAGCAGTGTAAAATTAATCGAAGCAAAGTAATCGATTAACACTTAATTGTTAATTTTAATCAACTAAAATTTTAATTAATGCCCAACACTCATCAGTTGTATATTTTTATAACTTTCAATATTTTTTTTTTGAATGAAAGAAATGTTCATATATTCTGATGTTTTGTAGAGAAAACTTTCCATTTTTTTTTTCATTCATCTCAACATATCCATATGTTTCTCTAAAAGTACATATTATATTTTTTCCCATAAGGATCGTTTGAAGATACCAGCTGATCCAAGAGATTGGGCAGAAGCACACGTTAAACACTGGCTGCAGTGGGCTGTTCGACAATTTAACTTGGTATCCATACGGTTGGCTGACTGGAGCATAACTGGGGAGCAACTGTGTGACCTTACTCTGAAAGACTTCCAAGCTAAAGTGCCTGTTGACCCTGGAGATGTATTTTGGACGCACTTGGAACTTCTGAAGAAGTGCAAATTTGTCGGTACGTTATTGAAAGGATATCCTTGGCATGGTGGGCCATTTAAAGGTCAAGAAACAAATCATTTTCACAAGTCTGGAATTTAATTCATCTCGGTGATATCACACCGTTTTTTCTCGCAGCCGTAATGCAAAAGGATGCGCCAAACGATGAAAGCGATGTAGAGAAACCTATGAAGATGCGAAGTCCAAAAGCTGCGAAATCACGATCGACGGTGGACCAACAGGCGCATGTAGTTGGTATGCCACTGGATAACGCCGACTCTACCACTTTCACTTTAGCCACTTCCAATCGATCCGTTAACAATGGCCAAATACAGTTGTGGCAGTTTCTATTAGAATTACTGACCGACAAAGAACACAGAGATGCGATTCAGTGGATCGGGACCGAGGGAGAATTTAAGCTCAATCAGCCGGAAGCGGTCGCACGATTGTGGGGCGCACGCAAAAACAAACCGTCGATGAATTACGAGAAACTGAGTAGGGCGCTTAGATATTATTACGACGGCGACATGATCTCGAAAGTTCACGGTAAACGGTTCGTCTACAAATTCGTTTGTGATTTGAAGCAGTTGCTGGGTTATTCGGCCGCGGAGCTCAGTAGGCTTGTTGAGGAGGAAAGAAGATATACTTGATAAAATCGTCTTCTCATGTGTATTTCCATAGTTACTACTGATAGAATAGCTCTCTTAATGTTTCATTTAATATAATAACTCCGCTGCGAATAAGCGAGTATAATACGTTTTTTATCTTAATATATTTTATTTAACGTAGTAATTTGAAGATACTTGAGGATACTTGAATAATTGTGCGCGATGGACAATTACGACGTAGCAACAGAAAAACTATATATCAAAGTAGTTACTTCTGAGATAACTTTTCGTACTGACTGAAGCATTACGTCACGTTATTTTTGCGTTATCTGAGGATTGGAACGAGCAAGGTTATTGGGATAGGTTATTTTAAGCACATCATATCAAGTGGGGAGGGGAGGTTGCGAGCATGATCACTTAAGTGCACGAAGTCAAATACAATGGCATTATTTACACAACACTATATAGATCTATTTTAACATAAATTAAGAAAAATTAGATTATATTAAGTATTTTAACACACGTGCGAATTTAATCGTATGAAAGTTTTTTGAATGAAAACGCAGAAGTGACTACTTCCATGTTTATTTTACACCGGCAATTATAGGATGAAAGACTAGATACAGATATGCGTATGATGAAACTGATAATTCTTCATATCCTCTGTTTCTAAGGCAAAGATTCATCCTCTTTATTGTATGTGTACAGTACATACAAATGTAAGTATACGAGCATGTGTGTACATATATTTATATATGTGTATAAAGACTAATCAGGAGGACACGCTTATTATAATACGCATGTATGTGTGTGTTTTAATAGGCGTGTCTTCGATTATTACAATCTTTTTGCAAATGCCGAGGTATTATCAATATTATTTCTTGAAGTCACAAGTTATGTGAGATCAACTTAAAGATGTTACACTGTATAAATGATATAGAAATATGGTTGAGAGAAAACTGTTAAATTTACAAGGGAACATTTAGTCGCCAACAATCGTATATTTTTATAGGAACGTGCGTTAAAACACACACAAATTCGAAGTTGTATATCTAAATATATAAATATTTTGTAAAATACGCTTTGATATGATGATAAAATATTGTAAATGAAGCATTTGAATAAATGACACATATCGTTGTGTGTTGCAAAATATTGGCTCGTACCATAAAATTAAACTTAGAAATGTATTATTTATAGCAATGGTGTGCCAATTGATGTTACATTATAGATATGTGTATCATACAAGACGTAAAAAGAAACGATTAACAATGTTTTTTTCTTTTCTTCATACGAGCGGGCGTACGCGTGTGCGTTTATGCTTGTACGAGAGAATTTTATTCCGCATTATCTTTTTTGGGCGATGGAACTTTAAGTGATATCGCATGCATTAACACTAATAGAATTACTACGTTGCGCCAGATTTACGAATTTTCTATATAGCACACCTGTAATTTTATTTATACGTTAATTGTAAATAATACCACACTCGTGTATCATTTATATCATATAAAACTTAATCATTTATTTATTTAATTTATAACATCAAGATTGAAACGCAGTTACAATGGAAAAAAGATTGCAACGCGTATCTCGACGAACTTCAAAATGCACCCAGTAGTTTTCCAGTAGGAAAATTATTTTCTGGGAATTACCAAGGAAGAACCTATTCTGTTGAACACGGGATGCGTGGCGAGACTCGTTGAAAAAGAAAAAAAGAGTTACAACTTTTTTTCCACTGAACATACAATACAAGACGCTTCAACTCTATTTGAAATGAAGTCATGCGATCGAGAAGTGTCTTTTCTTACGAATGATGATTTCGACAATATTGTCGTTTATATACGACGCATGCCTCTCTCATTCGATTCTTTGAGTTTTACGTACACACACGTGCACACACCAAAACTTGAATATAGAACTCAACTAGTCAACGAGTATCGTGTGACGCAAGCCGTTCGTTCTTCAATCTTATGACGTATCGTACAACGGAAATAGACGCGGAATACGTGAGTGCACCGCGGCAAAAGTTGTCGTGACACGGTAGCCGTTTGTATCTCTGTTGTTAGGACTGACTTTTGATCGGCAAAAGGCAGCACTCATCGCCAATACCAGAGAATCTAGCCTGTGAGATATCGGTCGCGACGTCACAAGTTAGGGTCTCAGGGAACCGGCGACGCGGCAGGCTTTACAAATCAGCCCGCCCGCCATTGCCCTTTTTTCTTTCTTTTTTTTTTACCACGCTCACCGCGCTCATACTCTCTCCGTCCCGCCTTTTCTCTTCGTTCTGCCTTTCTCTCTCTCTTTTTTTGCAAGAAGATCACGTGCAAACGGTATGCTTTATTTTTTATGCGATCCTATGTCGCTGCTCTAGTTAATTTCTTTCCAATCACTGTGCCAAAATTGAGCAGATTTCAGCAACGAAGTGGAAGAGACAGCGAGAGTATCTACAAATTGTACGGTTCAAACTACAAATCTCGCCATCGGAAGAGTTACGTTCTTATCATACTTATCATATACTCGAGATCTCGGATTCGAACGAGACTCTATGAAGATCTAGCAAGATCGCGCGCGCTCGGAGAACAAGAAACGAAAGAGCCGATGAGGGAATAAAAAGAAATGTTACCATCTTCATTACGCAATCGTAAGAACGAACGCTCTGGACGGAGAAGCGCGAATTCCGACAGAAAGTTTTCTCTCTCTCTCTCTTTCTCTCTATCTCTTTGCATAGGTTTAAATCGAGAAACGAACGATCACTCGAGCCTTCTTACTCTCGCAGGAGAACGACAGATCGTCCCTCGACGCTTCATTTCGCGGGGCACATTCGCACCGGGAGAGGACGCGGCCGTACGCATTCGCACTTCGACGAGCACCACGCACGCATCCGCGTACTTCGCGCATCGCATTGAGGTCGGTGCACACTCGTGCACATTCGACGGCCCTCCGAGATTCTTATCCTCCGCGGATCCCGATCCCCTGCCGAGACATCCCCGCAGCACGTTGCAGCACGTCGCGGCGCCGACGACCGGGAAAGTTAGCAAGTTGTACAGTGGACTTCGTATCTCGCGAATTTCCATTCCCTACTATACAACCTACTACCTCACCCAGGCGTCGTCGCGAGCCTCTTCCCTCCACCGTTGCTCTCCATCGGCGTTTCTTCTTCTCTCCTATATTCCTTCTCTCTCTCTCTCTCTCTCTCTCTCCCTCTTTCTCTCTTTTCCTTTTATTTTCTTAATCGGACACCTCTCGCACACAGTCCGCCTCACAATTTTCTCCCGCATTAATTTACTCGAATTTCTAGGGGAAACCTCGTGTCCGGGCTGCGATATTCGCTTGATAATCGATTTCACAGAGCCTCTGTACATACAATCCGCAATCGGCAATAATCCCCCACGTTTCTCCGGCGGCTCGAATGAAAATCGAGGTACATTGACATCGGTTCACGCTGTGCAAATACACCGCTGTATCGCATCTATTAATTATAACGGACACTTGGTTCTAACGGTACCTATAGCGGTATGCTTCTTGTTCCACGACAAAAGTATCTTACGGATCGTTCATAATATCGTGCACGAAGATCGATGCGCGCGAGCATCGACGAAGCGGCTTTACGTTCGGATTACATGCGGTCGCCTTAAATGATACATTCTCGAGACCGACGACGCACGTCTCGCTCGCGATTGGGTTTTTAACGGTTGGCAAATTCAAAATGCCGCGCCTTTTTCACGCGAGAAAATCACTCGGCAAGAAGCCTGTCGCTGATAACCGGAAGTGCCGCGAGCAGTCGGGAGAACAGAGGGGGTGATGGTGACGATAATGGTGGTGGTGGTGGTGATGGTAGGTGGTGGTGGTGGTGGTGGTAGTTGGCGGTGACAGTGGTGCTGGTGGTGGTAATGGAGGGGTAGTAGTAGGAGGAGGATCCGTCGAAAAGTTTTAACGCCGGCCTGACTACATGTACCGGTAGATAGGAGCTTGCGGTATGCATATAAAAAAGCCCACAAGTTCGGATCTACGGGTTAGTGTCATCAAGTATAGCCGATAACTATCCCCTCGGATCTATTCCACGTAGACGGTGCAAGAATCCTCGCGTGCCTGGCCCACGTCGAGTCGAGAGGGATCCACGCAGCTCGCGCTCGAGTCGGCAACACCTGCGAAGTCGAAGAGAAATCTTTATAACTCTCGTCGCTTCGTGAGACGTAATTGCTATTATTTCGAAGCGCAGCGCGTCTTGCTAACCACCAGGATTGTCTGATGCATCATCACCATGCGTTACCATCAACGCCGTATTATCATCACTGTTATCGTTACTACGTTCACGGAAAAAAGGAATCGGCTGTCCATATTATACGACTGAAATTTAGTTACCAGACCTGGTTTTAGAAGCTAAAAACTAGGTACAGGGGCAAAAAAAATTGGTTAAATTAACTAAATTTCAGTTATATTACATGGACAAGCTAATTTTTCACCGTGGGAGCTAGTTTTTAGCTGTGGAATCCAGTTTTTAGTTGTAGGAGCTTGTTTTTAACCGTGGGAGCTAATTCTTATTTTCCGTATTGAAATACTACTTCCTGGTGATTATCAGAGTATCCTTCTCATCGGTAAGTCTAATGATCATATCATCAGTAAGTATAATAACAATTCCCCGTACAGTGAGGGAGGAACTTGATCGAAATGATCTCTCGATTCACCAGCGCTCGCGTATTTATGCATATATACATATAGATACGGAGTATCGCGTTGTTTCGCGACGGACAATCGATAAAGTGTACAGTCGACAGAACCGAGCAATTGAAGGAGTGCTCGAGGAGAAATCGCGGTGAGAATTTCTTCCTCTAAGGTAACGCGGCCCCGGTCCGGCGACGCCGTTGCTGGGCCGTTGCTGGGCCGTTGTGGAGATCAGAAGGGCGTAGAAGAAAAAGTCGTGGGTCCTACGAGAAACAAGAAGCAGCGGAAGAAGGAGAGAGGAGAGAGAGAGAGAGAGAGAGAGATAGTGAGAGAAGCGGGGAGAAGAAGAGAAGTAAGAAGAATATAAGAGCGCGCGCGGAGAGTAGGTAGGCTCGGACGTTGTAAAAATCCCCTGCATCCTCGTTCGTAGACAGTTTAATGGCCTCTGCTGTTCTTCGCTCCAGGCTTAAGGGATGTAAAGCGTCGTTTCCAAGAGAGCGATTATGCGAGAATCGTGAGTTCGATTCTAACGTGAATTTCTATCATATCGTCCACGCCCTCTTCATTATTACGTTACTACCGACGTAACGCAAACGTGAAGTAGAGTTTTGCTCAACATTCCTTCGTTCACTCAACGATCATCGACTGTCACTTCACATTCGCTCGACAGAGTACATCTTTCGAGTAGAATCAAACGAGCTCGATTTGGATTGGCTGATTTACCAACCCGCGGCAAAATTCTATTGGTAATTTTATGAAATATCGTATTAACCTGTTAACCGGGGAATTCCTTTTTTAACTACGCAACACGGACGTATACGTCCCGCTCGGTTAACAGGTTAAATAGCATGGACGATATTTGAAGATTTGTAAAGATCTTATAGGTGAGTGTGTGAGAATCCTTCGAGGCGGATTAAGCATGCCCCGTTCTGAGTGACCGGATCTGCTGACTCGTGACGGAATTCTATTTGTGATTTTAACAAAATTTTATCCAAGTAAAATGGAGAATATTTATTGATTGATTTATTATTTATTTATTTTACATGTTTAAGTGCATGCCTGTAAACCTACAAATGTAATTTTGATCTTTGAAAGGTGTTCTCTTAGAAATAAAATTCCATCTCGAATTTCCTTGCGAATATTATATATATATATGAATCTTATAGTTTTAAAGTCCCTGAACCCCTTTTTCCCTAAAATTTTCCGTGAATTTTTTTTTAGTTTTTTTATCTTTTTTGCGAAAAATGTAAATGTGGCAGGTTTTAACCATACGCCGAATACATGCGAACTTTTAGACGAATTTCTCTAGATGAATTTTTGTACCCTTAAGAAAGAAATCGAAGAAATTCACGGAAGAAAATTGGAGAAAAGTGGTTTTCTTCCGAAACTTTAAAATTATGACAAATCCCATCCATGTGTATGAAATAATTTTGAACTTTTCGGCGCCGACAGAACGAGACATTCGCGCTGCACGTTGTGGACGACGCTTAAAACGCCACGAGTTTTGCGACGCAGAGCCCCGACGTAAAACTAGTCGCGCGAGCGAGCGAGTATATGAAAAATAAATTATTATCCCGCAGGCCGCGCGTTCGGAATACGTAGAAAGTGAGTTTCCGCGTGTCCGAAAGCTGCGGAGAGAGGTATTCGTTACTACGTTCGCAGCTCGCAACCTATCGCAACTTGGCTACCGTTTCGCCTGGTATTTTCGCCTCAACAACGATCATCGGCCAGCATACATTTTAATAACATTTATCGCGGAAACGAGACGCCGAAGGGAAAGGACAAGACGATGAATAGAGTCGGACCAAGTTCAACCAAATTCAGAATTGAATCGCGCGGAGGAGGCATATAACTTCACGACGAGCAACAACTTCCACTTTGTTTCCCTTGAAATTCGCCAAACTCGATTCACTCGTACTTTCATCGCCTCGGAACCATAACAACAAGGATGATCGAATCTTGCTGAGAAGCTGGGATTCCTCCGGCAAGAGACGATTCAACACCCGGCGAGTGCTCGTTAACGAATATCCATTATATGATGTGCAGCGAACACACGCCCGTCGGGGCGCAGTCATCGTATGGCTGAGGCCGTTGATAAGAAGAAAGAGAGAGAGAGAGAGAGAGAGATAGAAGAAAAGAAGCGAGATCAACGAAGACGCATCTCGACGTGCGCGCGGAAAGGGCTCGTTCGAAGGGCGGCAGGGCTGTACCACCTAAGGCCGAAGGGAAAGCGGAGGGTGGCGGGGGCGCGAAAGGCCGACGCGTAATCACAGGGGCGTTGTGAATCCAGGGGGTATCCGAAAGGGAGTGGGGAAATCGGGAAGGGCGAGGGGATCGACAACAGGGAACCGGGGTCACCGCCATATTATATTTAGCGAGACCGCGACCGTGTGAATGAACTGCGTCTCAGGGGCGGGCCCAGCGGCGGAACATTCTCTCTCTCTCTCTCTTTCTCTCTTGTTCTACTCTGGTCCGCTCCCTTTCTCTCCCCCGGCCACTTTTTCCGCGCAGATTGCAACAATGGATATTCCGTGGACGTCGTAGGATTTACAAAGCAATCGCGACGACACGGTTATCGTAGCGTTTATCGTCAGCCACTCGCGTCACGTTCGCGCACAGCGAGGATTAGCGAGTTGCTCGTCGTCATGGATTCACATTTTGCATTCGCGGGACTCTCGTCGCTTCCACGGCTGCACCACCGCCACGTTCGCCGATATCGACTAATAGCTGCGTTCGACAGGTACACTCGCCGGCACGGATGAACTGGTCCCGTGAAACCTCGCGAGAGCGACCGTGTTGCGATCTAAGCTAATATCGCGTTTTTCGTGCAACCGGGTTGCTCGTGAAACGACGAATGCGCGCAGGCGGACTGGTGTCGCTTATCGGACGGAGAACCCCGAGAAAATCTCTCAGGAGTCACCGGGAATTCTCTCTCTGTCTGCACCGACCAAAAAAGTATATAAACATTTATTTATACGGCGTAAAATTTATTTTACGGAAATAATGTTTATTTCTGCGAAATAAACCTTATATTCCACAAATATTTTAAATATTTTCGTCAGCGTGACGGGACTGAAATACCGGCATCGAGTGCAATGTTCCTCTTGCAATCGCGTACTGAGGAAAAAGTGTCCGCAACTGAGAAATTACAGTTGTTTTCGACCTCGACTGAGAAGAAAGTACTTAAAAATTTAAAGTATTTAAAAATTTAATTGTAGGGGGACACAAAGTTTATTTCACAAAAATAAATCTTATATCACAGAAATAAAGCTCACTTCACAGAAATGAAGCTTACATTCCACGAATAAATTTTTAAGTATTTTTTTTTCTCAATATATGTATATCGCTTTCATGTTTTCAAACACAAAAATAATACAGA